CATTGAATCATTAGGAAACGTGCTTGGAACGCAAATGGACGAACCAACAGAAAAAAAACAAGACAAAAAACTGTTTTAACTCTTAATTTTTGGACACTCACTTACTGGCAGCTTGTCACAAAGAAACCTAATTACGTTTTCTCCCATGTCGATGGAAAAACGTCGGACAAAAGACATTTTGAAAAACATGAAATGGTTGTTTTTTGTTTTGCTCAAAAATTCGATTAGCTGAGTACTTGAAATGCGACGTGCGAGCGTCTGAATCTGAAGAAACCAGCTCTTCCATTTATGAATGCAAAACGCATCCCTCTGCCCTGGTTTATTATTTTGGCTCATCCTTCTCTGAATGTTTCTGGCCTGTACATCCCATACTTGTTAAGTTAGTCAAACCTTCTGCAACAGAATCCCTCAACACCCTAAAAGCGGCTGGTGATAACGAGCTAAATCGCTCCGGCCCTTTTGTTGCCCGGAGGACGCTGCTGTAGTCCAGTCCCAATTATCAGTTAATTGTATATTTGCAATCATTTGATATAATCACGTTCACTTCTGGACGGGCCTCTCAATCATAATATTCGGCTGAATGAAACAAACCTGAATGTTACTTTGTTTTTAATAGTTTTTGCCCATATTGGAGTTAATCCACTGATCGTTTTACACCCTTTCGGGGCCCTTTCCTTCGGCTGTGCTCCTCGCTTGCCTGCAGTTTGTTTAGAGGGTTTAAAAGGCAGACGGAAATGATTACGGCGCCCATTCAACTTAAGTCTGAGTCAGGGGAAAGTTTCAGAGCATCCTGACAGTTGCAGGTACCTAGAAAGTTGCCCAGACGGCCCCACACCTTATGGGTGTTGGAGAGCCCTTTCAGAATGTCCTGTTATTGGGGTTAAATATGCTAATTAGTTTTTAATTGGATTCTACAGTTTGATAAGATAACTCCCCCCCCCCCGTCTCCTTCATAAGCTTTTCGTTTAGCTTTCCAGGTGAAACATTTTTTGTTTTTGAAGACACAAGCGGCCTTTCATAGAAAAACTAAATTGAATGCATAAGACTTTTCTTTGCACGTCTTCTTCTGGCAAAAGTTCATAAAGAGAGAAAGAAAAGCGTCTTATAAATTATACAAACGTCAACCCATAAATAATAAGTAAAGGCATAAATAGGGACCTTATGCCGACTTAGTGTTGGCTCGTGAACCCGGTCCTATTCGTGGTCTGGTCTGAAACGTGAGCTGACGACTCTCTCTGGTTGATTTAGTACAGCTATTAATAGACCTGTCTATAAATGAACAAGTTTTTTTTTCTGTTTATTTTTCTTTTTATCGTATGCTTTTTGTTTCTGATCTTTTTTACATAATTTATTTAACAAGCTGAAACGGTACGCACATCTGCTCGGTCCCCGTTCTCTGGATGGTACTTTTATGGCGGGATTACTTAACGGAATGGACGACTGTCTTTATGTCTTTGGTGTAAAGTAGAAGTCATGTAACATGGAAGAAAAAGAGTTGAACGCCTGCTTTTTTTAATACATGTCTAGTCGCAAATCTTTTGAAATTTGTCTTGCAATGTGTTTCATCTGGGCAAAGAGAGCTTGAGAACGATTTTTGGGTAAAAGTAATTCATCACGGAGCAGCCGACTCCGATGTATACTCAAATATTTGTCCATAATTCCCTGCAGAATGCATGATGGAAACAGGAAGATACATCTCATTAGCCCCATTAGTACCATCCCTACAGGCAGGCACGGCAGTGGAAGTATCATGTAAGGTCTGTGAGATAAGTCAGGACAGTGACAAAGGAGGAGGTGGCAAAATAGGGAGAATCTTTCATCCTTTTGCTGGCGAGTGTTGATAACTCAGTATCAGGAAGTCCTGCATTAAGTCTGAACCCAAGTCTTAGATATATTTACATTTTTGAGGTAGCATTATGAATCATTACGCCTATGTTACGCTAATTAACTTTTGTATCAGACAGTTGTTAGTTTGGTGTTTTCTCAGCTAAATAATGTCTGTTGCTAAAAGAAAAAAAGTGTTCTCTTTATCACAGAGCTACAACAGTCACAACCGTCTTTACCATACTTGGTTCTTAAAATAAAGAGATAAGATGAAAAAGTGCCCTGGGTGAAAGTGGTAAACGCACCACGTGGGGGTTTGATCGTTCTTAAAGAGTATCCGAGCAGCAGCAGGAGGAGGAAGAGGAGGAGTGTGGTTCCCCTTTAAACAGCCTTTTTGCAATGCTGCGTTAACCACCACGAAGTCCGACTTCCTCCATCCTACATGCACAAAGGTTTGTTAACCCTTCACCCTTCTGAAACTTTACACCCTCTCAAATGCATGCCTGGCCCTGGGTGGGTGTACTGAATTTAAAAATAGTGAATGCCGACACAGCTAATTACTGTTATCACACATGAATAAATGGGTCAGTAACTTAATTCAAATGTTGCCAAGACGATCACTTTTTAAAGGACTTTACAAAGAGATGGACCACTTCTTAAGCAAATATGTCCTTTAAATATCATGTTCTTTAATCTGTGAATCTGTAAACTGGTATATTTGCCATGTTTTTTACAAGAGCACAGAGTGCATCTTTAAAACATTCCGCTTGTCACAAAGTACCCAAAGATACTTTAAAGATAAATATAAGACATATACAAATCTGTGTCTTTAGAATAGTATTGTCCACCTGCTGTTGTAAGTAAGAAAAAGAGTCTTTAAAACAGAAAAAAACAAACCAGATAAAAATTGATAGAAATTTATTTTTTTGTCACTTTATCAAAAATATTTGCAACACAATTGCATAGATGGACGCACACACACAAAAAAAAGCCTAGGTGATTGTTTCATGTGAGAGTAACAATGAGAAGACAGCAGTCAGTCACACAACACATAGGCTTCTGTTATTTTTCATACCCACACACAAAAAAAGGTGTAAATGAATGGTTCCTGTTTTTGTTTCATCAGAAAAGGTGTTTAAACTCACTCGTCAGAATTCACTCCTCGTGAAGGAGGTCAGCAATAAATATTCCAAATATATTAATTCTTGGTTTGTTAAATACTTTTTTTAATACATTTTGAGAACCAATTAATTATGTTTCTACAAAAAGGGTCGAAACAATTTCTCTAGCTTAAACTGGAGTGTCCATTAGTGGCGAATAAAATGGGTGGGGGGATAAAATAAAAAGTTTGAAAGATACAACAAAAGCACCCTCTTAAAATATCTCTTCACAGACGAGAAAAGCAGAGCACACGGTTCAGCTGTTGTGTTTAGGGGTTAGGGTGAGGGGGGGTTGTTACTGCATAAGATCTTCAGAAATGTATCCTTCTTTTTTGTCAAAGCAAAAAATATCCACCGGTTATCACCCAGTTTTGTGCTTCTCTTTTCTAAGTGTTCCCCAAGAAAAAACAAAAAAACAAAAAAAAAGAAAAGAAAAACGGTCCTTCTTTGAGTTTTTGCACGAGGAGGCAACTAATCCATCTTCTCCCACCCGTTCATGAGTACGGCATTCCTTCTGACTGAGGGTGGGGGTGGTGGAGGGGTGGTGTTGGTGGGGGGGGGGGGGGGGGGGGGGGGGGCTCTTGTGGAGACTATTGGGTCAGTTGGCGTACTGTTTGTAAAAGGCAACCTTGACGCGCTCGATCTGGTGGCACAGCTTGATGGCGGGTCCCAGCTTCAGGTCCATGCACTCCTGGACGGTGGGCAGGGTGAGCAGCAGTAAGGCCTGACCGTCTATGTCCTGCACAACACACACACACACACACACACACACACGCTTATTGACAACTTCCCAATTGCGTTCACAGTGGTAGGCAGGACCTTTCTGTGTGGAGTCTGCATGTTCTCCCTGTGTCTGTCTGTTCTCTCCGGGTTCTCTTACTTCCTCCCACAGTCCAAAAACCTGCATGTTAGGTTGACTGGACATTTCAATTTGCCCCGTGAGTTTGTGTGGTTGTTTGTCCTTGTGTGTCTATGTGTTGCCCTGTGATGGACTGGCAGACCGTCCATGGTGTACCCCGCCTCTTACCCACTGACCAATAGGATAGGCTCCAGTTCTCCCCCATGACCCCATTAGGGAATAAGTGGTAATGGATGGATGGATGTTCACAGTGGTTTTATATTATGAATATTTACATTGTATGTTAATTTTTTCATGTGGGAATGAGTCCCGTGTCTTTGGCTTAAGAACCTTCCTATCTGGGTGAAAGGACCCAGAAGCGTCTAGTCAGCAAAGTAAAAGTAGGAGCCAAATACAAAAGGAAGGTGCACCAATGCTTCCTTAATTATCTCCTTTAGGATACACTCGATTACACGTATTTTCTCTAAACAGACCCACAACAAATTGTGTACGGGTGTGAGTACTCGGTGTGTGTACCTGTTCCCGAAAGATGTTGGCCAGTGACGCACAATCAGTGGAGTTGATAAACTGGACGACTTCGTCCACACTCCATTCCAGCGGGTTCCTGTCCAAAACCAGCTGACCTTCCTCCTCCTCCTCCTCAACCTGAACACACACACACACACACACATTAAGAACACGCCCTTAATAATATTAATAATATCCACGCTTTCAATATTTGAGCCGTTTTCTTTGTTAAAGCTTCAGATGCCGACGCCCCCTCGTCTCACCTTTAGGTCCTGTCCACCTGCGGGCTGGTACTTGTTGTTGTTCTGGCTGTAGGCCGACAACGAGCGGGTGGACCTCCTGCGTCCCTCCGGGGCTTCCTGTCCTCCCGCGGCGTTCCCGGCGCCGGCCGCCCGCCGCAGCGCCACCAGCCGGCGGGGGCGGCTGCTGGCGGTCACCTCCACCGAGGAGGCGTCCGTGTGCTCGTCCCGGGGCTCCGAGCTGGTGCCCTCGCTGCCAGACTGCATGGCCATGTCCTCGTCCTCCTCGCCCTCATCGCTGTCCTGAGGGAAGCAACCCACAGTCCGTCGGACGGGTCAGTCTCTTTTTGTGTCTGAATGCTTAGTTTGATTAGGGTCTGGTTTTCCTGTTTAACACCAGTTCCTTTTTTTTCCTCTCCTCTTCGATCGAGTTTAATATTCAAATAATTGACCATTTATTTATTGTTCCAGTAAAACCCCAATATTGCCCCCGATTTTTAGCCTCACAGTTGCTGGTTTATTTATTTTCTTAGTGTTTTAGTAGAATAATGTCTGCAGAGTTACTACAAATCTTCAACATTCTTTTCAAAAGAAACAGTTGCATCGATAAAGCGGTGGCGAGCGCTAACACCAGCGCCCCACGGGCCTCAATCAGACTCGATGCTGGGACCCAGCGCAGCCTCGGGCCCCTCATCTGCTCGTTACGGCTTCTCTACATTGATCCAAGGGTTCAATATTAATCTCAGTTTCCCTCGCTGACATATTCCCGGGAAGGAAGGACAAATCTGAGTCAATAGGCCAATGAGATCCTGCTTCAGGCCGACGAATGGGAAAGCAGCTACCCAAGCTTATCAGAGCAGAGGGCATCCCTCTCTGTCTTTTCAAGCCTTTTTTTTTCTCTTGAAGAGTCAGGAACCAAAAGGAAGTTGGGCTTCGGCCTTTTTTTTGTCAATCTACATCAGCACATCACCCAGGGGCTCAGATTCCTTCCTGAGAAGCCCCAGTTGCGGGGCCGAGCTCGTTTGCGTTCAGATGCAGTGACGACGACGGGGCGTGGTAACCAAACCAACCTGCGGGGAGCCGGCGGGAGTGTAGTCCACCGCCGACGAGCGCCGCTTCTTCTGCACAAAGATGGCTTTCCTCTTCTTCCTGCGCCGCGCCGGTTTGGCCAGCTCCCCCTCCGCCGCCTCCCCTCCGCCCGCCGGCTTCAGCAGCTTCTTCCTCTTCCCGTAGTAATAAGCTGTGGTGCGCACGGCAGAAGTGGGAAAAGACAAACAAACAACAACAAAAAAAGCACCCAAAACAGAACTGTTAATTATGCGCTCTGCAGAGTCCCAGAAGCCTCTTCATAGCTGCGGTGCCGGGAGGGAAGCGCATGGTCGCAGGCACTCACTGTATTTGGTTTTGGTTTGAACGGAGCAGTTCTCGGGGCACTTGTCGGTGACGAGGACGGGGCTTAGGAGGTTCTGGCAGCACTGCAGCTTGGCGCACACCTTGCGGCAGAAGTCTGGGATCTGGTCGGCCAGGCGGACTATCCTGATGGTGGAGCGGTAGGTTTTTCCTTTGTACCTGAAACAGACAAAGAGGAAGCGGAGAGGGGACGTCACGACAGCGTCAGCCGGCCATCCCGCCTTTATTTATGAGAACTCGGGATGATTAGATCAAAGCAGCCGACAATGAAGGACCATTTCCCGCGCGCTAACGACGCCGAGCGGCCCATTCTAGCCGAGCGGGCGAGATTTCACGCCAGCCAGTTGATGGAAGCGTTCCTGAAGGCGCCGGGTCAGTGCCGCCATAACCCGCCTAACGGCTAAGGTCACTCAGGAGCAGCGCTTTGAGAAAAGAGCAGCAGTGAAATTCAATCTAATCGGCAGGAGCAGAGAGAGGTGCTCCGGGCAAACACATGAGGAGGCGAGCCCTCCAACGACCTGAATATTCATTTATTTACAGGAAGAGGAATGATGAAAGGAGAATGATTTCTGTTGATCGTGTGGGGCGAAAGCAACAGTCAACTGTGTCCATGGCAACACAAGACTTTTGGTGCCGCTTTCCCTTTGGATTCTGGTAAAACTAACACAGACCACCTACCTGTGCTACACCCAAGATAGACTAAGAAACATCGGTAAGCAAATTCTCAGTAAAACAATTTTACTGAGGGTCAATGAAATAAAACAGCGGCTTCTCAGTCGGAAGCTAAATTTGGTGAAAAAAGGTAGACGAGTGAGATAAGGAGACGGCTCAACAGGTCTGCGGCTTAGAAAAGGAAAGCTTGGTCAAAAATCCAGCGCCATAAGAACCCAGTTAGTCAGTGATCGACAGCCTAAAACCACAGCGGTGTCAACTTTATACAGCTGGAATTGTATTGTAAGGCTCCAGCGGAAACAAAGAAAACGTTCCAAAATCACACCAATTGCTGAAACACGTACAATGTGCTGAGGATTCTGCCCATTGAAACCCTCTGCTTAAAAGCTGTTAATGTTAATGTACAGCAAGAAGGATTTACAAAAACCGTAATCATTAAAAAAGTTTGTGCTCTTTGGGGCAAATACCTGGAGAATCGATAGTTATTAATCCTCATGTGGACATTTATAATAATATTTTTTTTAAAAAGAGGTGCATTTTACGTTTTACTTACTGTATCCATTGAATTATATAAAAAGGTAAACAAAGGCCGCAAAGAGGTTCACAGAACTGAAATGTTTTGCATTCAAGTGTTTCTTATATACTAGCATTTGGAACAAAAAAGACACCGCAGTTACAGGCGATTCTTTTTCTTTTAAGGAATTTGTAATTTGGAGGGAAGGGGGGGGGGGCATTAAGATCTTCTGGGAGACCAAGTGTTATTATTTTAGCAAAGTGAGAGTCTGCAATCCTAAAGGTAGAAAAAACACCAAAAAACACCCAGAACAGACGTGGACTGTTTGAAAATGAGAAAAGAAAGTCTCCTACTTGGCTTTGAGGGTCTCCTCCTGGCAGTCCCAGGTCTGCTCCTCCAGCTCCTGCAGCTCCTTCAGGACTCGACCGGGCTTGTAGGCGGCGTTGATCAGCATGCCCAGGAGCTGGAGGCAGAACAATAACCAAATAAATCAATAAAGCATCCTTTGACAAAGAAAAACAAACTAAACAGTTCTGAGGAACAAACCCAAATTGCGGGCATGGAGGAGGATCCGACAACGGGCTGAGAAACTTAACAAAACGCGGACCGAAAAGCCTGCGGGTGCACAAAAAAGGGCTCTCGGGAGAAATAAGGCACCTGTTTTGCGTAACGGCAGCTAAAGGTGTGCACGTGTGAACACGTTTGACTGACAGCTCCTCACGTCGACATGAAAGCGCTGCTGACAAACCGCAGGTGCTTAACAAGAGGTCGCCAGCTTAACCTCCACTTTACTCCCTCTCTCCCGTCCTTTTCAAAGCATGCAAGTCTTTGATCAACCCCCCCCACCCCACCACCACCCTGGCCGGCGAAGTGGACCCACCTCTTTGAGGACCAGCGTGCATTTGCCGGGCCCCACCGCCTGCGGCAGCTCGGCGATGCGTCCCTTGTTGAGATAAGGCCCCGAGAAACAGCGATGGTTGACGTAGATCTTGGAGCAGCAGTATCGCCCGTTGGCCGCGCCTGAAACAGAGCAACCGCACCGGAAAGTTACCTGGGGTGGAGTTCACTCGCAGCATTTTGGGTCCTTTCGCCAACGTCCAGGTAAATTTATATTTGGTAGATTGGAGAAAATTGTTTAAAGTGTGGCCAAAAAGGTCAGAACTGTCACTTAGTTTCTTGTCAAACAATCCAAATGTGGAGGATATGAGTTAAATAAGGGAGCCTGTGTGAGACTCACTCCATGTGTGAGTGGCTTCCACTCTTTTCTTCTTCTCTTTAGATTCAAAGCCTCATTTTTATGTAAACAGCCAAATGGCACCGTGTTAGTCAGACTGAGTGGCATCTTTTTCTTCTTATGGAACTCCCTTTTACCAAATAACCATTAATGAAAATGAAAACATTTAAAATCCCTCATGTGTAAAATATTGAAACGTCATACCAGACCGTCACAAGCATTCGGAGCATTCATGCTTTAAAAAGTATTCAGAACAGCTTTTTGCTGGCAGTATACAGGAAAACACGTCTTCCAAAACCAGTCCAACCAGCTAGAAATTTGCACGCTATGCGATAAATCCCGCCAAATTTTTATCAATCTGCCCAGTAACCCAGCAAGAGTTCAGTTTTTCCGGTTAGTGCACGTTAACGTCCGTCATTTCCTACTTTAACATCCTCCATTAAAGAGAAATATTTGGCCGATTCGGATTGTGCAAAGATGTGACCGAACATGCCAGCTAAACACAGAATCCCCCCCCCCGCCTTCCCACCACCCCCACCAAGCCTTTCAAGGGCTCAAACTGAGGGATGCTGATACCTGCACCTGGACCTTCACTGCCAGGGGCAAAAAGTAATTAGGTATGAATATGAATATCCATGAGCGAGTGTGTTTCGTCTTTGTTTTCTGTCTTTTTTTTTTTTGTTAATCAGAGTTTGAAAAGAAGGACAAGGGTCCACTAGAAAACAATACGTACACACTCCTCAGCCTCACTCTCTCCCCTTCATGTCTTTAAACATGCATGTCGTTTACATACTGATATGCAAACAGAGCTAAACAGTGTGTAGGCTGAGGTCTGATCTGATCTTCTCCAGCTCTGCC